AAACGTTTCAGCAATCTGTAACAGCAGACATCTTGGTTTTGAAGAGAGAGAGAGAGAAGAAAAAAAAAGGAACCAACAAGTTTTACAGATATGCACAACTGGTAACCTTAGTGTACAGTGCCATCTACTGGTCGAGTGATATTAACACACAATACTGTATATAGTACATGCTGTTGCATCCCCAACAAGATGTTCACTATATTCTGTGAATTTTCTACTATATAGTACATGAATTAAATATGGAAGCACCCTCTGGGGCAGTAAATAAGACAATAAATATCACATTCCCTACAGTTTATTTAGGCAGATCAACATCTCAATTCAAAGAGTTTAGCAGCTATAACAAATAAAATTTGTTTTTTCTTCCAGCCATGGGAGACTATTTCGGAGGAAATGAGTTTAAGCAGTGACAATCTGAATACGTCTCTACCACCACCTGCATCCCCCGTCTCTCGGGCCAGCGCTTTGGAACTATCGGAGGAGCTCAACCGGAGGTTACAGATCAGCACTGAGTCCAATGGGGAACAGTTCAGCTCACTTATTGTAAGTAATGAAACTGCAGTTGGCAGACATCCTCCTGTGTACCACGACATGCCCAGCCTGCAATTAGCTTTGTGTCAACAAATTAGCAGTAATTAGAATTCTGGAACTTAATATAAAGAAGATCCCAGCTGAGTGTCAGATGCAACTTCCTTAATTCACAAAAACTGGTGCACATGAAAAATAAGGTCTTTGTAGGTATCCCAACCTTGGCAGGTCCAAAAAAAAAAAAAAAAAAAAAGTTCTCCTCACCACACTTTGAATCCATCAAAACCTCCCTCTGTTTTGGATTTCAAGTTTTGACAGTCCCACCATTTCCACCCAAACCCTGCCCCAAACTTTTTTTTATCATATTCACTTCAACTTTTGACAGGACTGCCTTTTGAAGCTTCACATCTTGCCAGTCCTACTACTATGTGGGTTGTCCTTTTATCCATTTTGTCCATTATATTACGTGCACTGCAGAATAAAACAAGGGTTGCATTGTGCAGTGGCTTCCAACGTTTCTTCTGTGTGCTCTGGTTTACTTTCACAACCCAAAAACTAACATTAAACTTTGATTCCATTTGCCCCTTGCGCACTACATGACATCCTATATGAGCTGGCTGGACATTATATTTGATTCTTCTTCATCAATAATTGATGCAAATAGTTTGATAAAACACTATGCTACAGTGTATATAAGTAAAAGATAAATATGGATAATAGTTTTTGATTCGTGTGAGGAAAGTAAGATTCTCTTTTGTGGGATCAGAAAATATGGAGTTTCAAGTCACTTGGCTGTGGCTGCTGTGGTTTTTGAGGAACTGATGGGTTGAATATTTGATCTATTTTATGGCTTCCTCGCTATAATATTTTATAGGATGTTATTAGCCAGTAATATAATGCCAGTTAATTCTTGAGTTGTCAGGTGTGATTTACTTTAGTGTATTTGTTTGCCTATTCATTTAGTATAGACAAATATATTCAGACTCAATTACAGAACACATAGGACCATCCATATCAACCCCTGTCCTCTGAAGGAGCTTACAGTCTAATGCAACCTTTCTCAACCTTTCTTTCACTTCGTTTTTATTGAAAAACAAAATGAACATCCAACCAGTATATGTTGAAATTTTGTAGAAAATACAGCAGGTTTTGGTGACCATTGTACAAAGTACATAAATATCAAAACATAGCGTGCGCTACTTGCCAGCAGAGCTGGCAGAGGCTCCTAAGGCAGGCAATTTTAAACAAATAACTCATCAGGTAGTGAAATTCAATAAAATCATATTAGTCCTAAGGCATTATAACCAATAACGGCAGTTAGGAAAAAATCACAAGAAAGGCCATGGGCATATCAGCAAGTAAGGCTTCAGTTAGTCGCAGATCTGATTGATAACGTACTATCAGTTGAAATATATAATTACTTGCTTGTGGTCACCTATAGATAAGGAGAGAGAAAAGGAAAGAAAAGAGCCCCCCGCCAATGTAATAGAGGGTGGCCTGTGCCCACTATGGCATAATATATGGCGATATAATCAAAGCTCCGGAAAGGGTCAAGTGAGAGGGTGGAAAGTGGTCAAGCCAGGGCTGCCAAGTACGTAAAACTTTTTCATGGGTGCCATTAAAAGTCGCCCTAAGCTTTTCATTAATCATTGTACTTCTTATGCAATGTTTTACCTTGTCCAACCTGAGAACTGTCAATTTTCATGCCTTCTCTATCATCTGTTTTGTCGCCATGAAAATAGGGGTGATAAAAGTGTTAAAGTAAGTCAAAAGGCCTATTTTATTCAAGAAAAGCAACATGTTATACTCACCTGCTTTGTGCAGTGGTATTGCACAAAGCTGCTCCAATCCTCCTCTTCTTGGGTCCCCCGTCACCGATCTTGGCTCTTTCTGTTCTTCGTTTCTCGTCATAGCAAGCCGTTCATTTGCCATGGAGTCACACAGTGTCTTCAATCTCCCGAGCTTTGTATCTATGGAGCCGTGCTCCATAGACCTACACAGTGAAATCTAGCCCCACCCCCACTTCCTCCTCACTTTATTTGATTGACAGCAGTAGGAGCCAATGGTTCCTGCTGCTGCTAAAGACCTGAAGAAGAGAGGGGAGAAGAGATGCAGCTGTGCACAGCTCTGGGTTTCTTCTTCTCTCTCTTCCCTTTCAGACAGGGAAGGAGGGGGGTTAGAGAAATAGAAAACATTTTTTTACCTATATGTAAGGAGTGCATTAAGGTAAAAAAAAAAAACGTTTTTAGCTTTAGTATCACTTTAACGTTCGCTCTTAACAGGTAACCTGTTCGATCGGTTGACTTTCTCAGCCTTTTCAACATAGAGGAACTCTTTTAATAACTTTCCAGGCTCAGGGAACCCCTGCTAAAAATGGCTTTATCTACAGCTCATGATACATTAGTGTGATGGTCACTGGGAAGAATACTCCTTACACTTGTGGTTATTGGGAATAATTACCCCATTACAGATTGCTAAAAAGATCAATGGTGTCAGTGGGAACTTATTTAAGAGGCAGAAATTGCTCATTGTTTAAGAAACCTCTGCCAACTACTGGAGGAATCTTTGTTGAGAAACTTGAGTCTTTACTAGTGAATTTGAGGGCTCTTATTTCGTCAAACTTTTATTATATTGGCAAAAAATGCATTTGAATCAATAGGGCAGGCAAAATTGGGGTGGGTTTGGTGTTTTTATTTTTTGCAATGGGCTTCAATCTCTCCTGAAGGTTACAGAAGCTTGTTTCATCTATGCTATACATGTCCCAAACAGCTCCTTATTAGCCTCATTATTTTACCATTTCCGCTTCAAAGAATTCAATACAGTAACTACTCTAAATACAGTACATCCAAAAAGGCCCCACATCCTCTAAATAAAGAAGTAAAAAAATAAATGATTTTTCAAACAAATTTTGCCTTAACAATCGGAATTGAAAGTTTCCACTTTAAGGAACTTCAGCTGATAGGGAAATCACTTACAATTCAATTACATCGCTTTGCTCATCCCTAATCCTCACCACACCTTTATAAAGATGCCATTTAACTTGTAAGTAGGTTTCTGAATTACAAGAAAAACCTCGAGGACCTGCTGAAAAAATGCAGCACAGGACCATAATATGTTTATGCAGATAGTATGGCTAGTTGGCTTCAAATTCAGGCCTGTAAAGCAAGAAAGTCATTGATTTACCTACCAAATTTCCCACATGCCCCCTTTTCTACAACCTATTATATGTTAGAATCACTTTAAAACAAATTCAGATGGGACAGTCAACAAACTCACTAAGCTATACCTTTGCCATAACAATTGTTGCTTTCAGCCTGTTACTTCTTTCAGCTCCCATTGGCTGCCGTTGTTCAAAATTAGTCTTTTTGGCTTTTTGGATTACTTTTGTTCTTCTAATGGACAAATATGGAACATCTTGGATTAACTTCTACTTTAAAGGTAAAACAGAGCAAGATGCATTGATGTTCCATAGAGTACAGTATCCCATAGCAGACCATGCTGATTAACTTAACTATAGTTAGATAAGGTAAGAGATCGTTTCTGATTGGTTGCTATGGGATTTAGTCACGATGCCTTATTTTATAAGCCCCAGGGCATAACGTCTGAAAGAAAAGTGTGTGGCCACAGCAACAAGTCAGATTCTTTCTTTTGTTAATAAATATTTTAAAGTGACGCTAAACTTTGGTTTAAAAAAGGAAAATATCCTATTCAAGTATGTATTCCTAAAGCAAAAAAGTTCCTTCTGTTGCTCTCAACCTACTCCAAATTCCTATTTTAACAACTGTCCCGTCCGGCCATATATGTACATGGTGTGCAGTGCTGAAGTGGGTGGCACTGGGAGTGCACAGCATCTTGATCCAGAACACCGATCGCTTTACGGGACCTCTGTGTGAGGTCCCGATCATTTGATCACTGATTGGCCAATCACATGAATAGTAGTAAGCAAGATCTCACTTCCTGACATCATTGCTTACTATGTGTGAAATCTGTGAATGATCACAGAGGTCACATGGTACAAGGCTAGTCACAACAGCCTTGTACCATGTGACAAGCTATGACCAATCACAGCTCTCACAGTATTTCTCAATGGCTGCAAGAATGCAGCCAAAGGGAAGGAGAAATGATTGCTTTTACAGCCTTTATGGGTGTCAAAGCAATCCGTGTAAAAAAAAAAAAAAAAAATAATCTTCATCACCCCCACAAGTAGTACAGTGTCATTGCCAACAAAGGATATATAACAAAGTATTGAGATGAACTTTTGATATTGACCAAATACTTATTTTCCACCATAATTTGCAAATAAATTCTTTCCAAATCAGCCAATGTGATTGTCTGGATTTTTTTTCTCATTTTGTCTCTCATAGTTGAGGTCTACCTATGATGCCAATTACAGGCCTTTCTCATCTTTTTAAGTGGGAGAACTTGCACAATTGGTGCAAGTAGTACAGTGTCACTATGATGACATTGTACTGCTAGGGTGACAGTATGTTAAAAAAAAAACCACAAAACATAAATATATATAACAAAAAAAAACTTAAAATAAAAATGTACATTTTTTTTTTTAAATTATAATTTTTGGTTATAAACTAATTTGGTTTTTTTTTTTTTTTTTTTACAAAAAAGATAGCCGAATACATGTTGGCCAAGATTTATGAAGAAAGATTATTTATTTGCAAAATTTTATAAGAAAAGCACTTTTTTTTTCAAAATGTTTGGACTTTTTCATTTATATAGCAAAATAATAAAAATCCCAGTGGTGAATAAATACCACCAAAATAAAGTTTTATGTGTCTCAAAAAAAATGCTAAAAAATTCATATGGGTACAGTGTTGCATGATCGCGCAATTGTCATTCAAAGTGTGATAGCGCTGAAAGCTGAAAATTGGCCTGGGCAGGAAGGGGGTCAAAGTGTCCGGAATTAAAGTGGTTACATTTTTTATCTTTTCTTTTTTTTATGCGGTACAAAAAAAAAAATCCAAGTTCCTTTTAGAAGGTGGCTGCATACGTTCTCCATGGACCTAGGAATGTAGCCACCCTCTCTTATTCACTCCTGAGATGGACCGTGGATTATGGAGTTTTTCGTATGCATAGAGCTGTATACATGACCACAACTAACATGCATTGCTTGTTCCAAACTCACTCAGGTTCGGAAGCTCTGGTAGGATGTTACAAGGAGGCAACAAAACACAAAAAGAAACAATTTCTTGTAAACTAGATTATAGCCATTAAGTAGTGAATTATATTTGGAGAATAAGGATATCATTTAGTGTCCCTTTAAACACAGTACCCAGTTTCTGATTGGTTGCTGTGGGCAATGCCTTCCTTTCTCCCTTCATACACTTTATCAATGAGGGCCGTTATCGCTGGGTTCCTGTAGTGTTCCATTGATGAGCTGAATCACTCTTCTGACTTAGGGATAATATACTAACCACAGACACCACGTTTTTTTTCTTTACCGCAGCAAGCAGCTTGGGAAAGGCGTAAGGTAACACTTATTATGAATCTCTCCCATGTGGTGATTTTTTTGAAAATGTATTCTTTATTTACGTCTTTTTTTTTTTTTTTTTAATGTTAGGGGTTGGATGGTGTGACTTTTTATACTAACACAACTTGTGTCAATATTGGATGTTTTCAATGATTTTGCTCAAGTTTTAAATTAACAGCTCTTTCCTAAATCTTGTCTTTTCAGCAGCGGGGAGCCCTCATCTAGATTCGGTCTTGCAGCGTGACCGATGGTGTCGCTGAACAGGTTCAACTGTCCATGGTAAATTTCCCCTTTCTTTTGTTTGTTTTTTTTTTTTTGCCGCTTATCTGTGACACGGCTGCTCTTTTTCCTGTGGTACAGTAGACAAAAGAAAGGCAGACTCTTTAACAGATGTTGAAAAGTAATAACAAAAATTTAATGGCAACGTCTTGTAAACAGGAAAAAAGCTGATCGTGTTCCTTTATACTTTTTGGTGGTTTTGGGGTCTTTACTAAGTTGTCTATTGATTTAAGCGATTACTAATGTTTGATTACCTTGTCACTTATTACAGAAAACATGTTTGTTGTCTTTTCAACTTCTGGAAATTTCAGTTGGAATATGTATTAGGCGGGCACGATTACCCTCTTCTTGTTTTATAAAAAAGGGGAGCTATCATCAACTGAGGACTTTTACTTCTTACTGTTTTATAATAGCAACTCTAAAGCTGGACACGCACTGGTAGATTTTTAATAAACATTTGTATGACATTCTTAGGAAAATTCTCACATTTGACAATGTGAGAATTTAAGTACTTGAAAATTTCGTCAGCTTTTTCACATTCGATTTTGGAGTGAATGGACTTCACCAACCAAAAACAACATCAACTGTTAATAATTTGTTAAAGAAAAATTCCTCCGAAATTTGCTGTCCCTGCATATGAAGATGAACATCGATTTGGCCCCATTATCAATTAAAAAATCAAACGAACATTTCAAAATTAAAAATTTTGAACAAAATTCTTCTAGTGCGTGGCAAGTTTAAGATTACTAACTGCTCTACTAAAGACTAGTTACACCCAAAAAAACATTTCAGTTGGGGATCAGCCACTACCCGGGTGTTTTGTATCTCTTAGGTCCATGGCACAGAAAAAAAAAATCTGATTGCAGAAATTTGTAGCTTAAAGCGGAGCTCCACCCAAAAGGGGAAGTTCCACTTTAATTGTCCCCCGCTCCCCATTAAGGATTGGTACCTTTGGGGAGCGGGTAACCAAATTTGACAGGTACCCGCTCCCACTTCCGCTCCGATCGCCTAGGCGATCGGAAGCGGAAGTTGTCCTCCCCCCTTCCCTCCCTGTAGTCTTCTGGGTCATGTGTCAGGTCTCAGAAGACTACGGGGCCATTCACAAAGCGCAGCACTTCTCGCGCATGTTCAGTGGGTACCCGTCTGTGAAGCCGCAAGCTGTCACAGCCGGGTGCCCACACTAAAGAGGCCGGTGCTGGAGAGAGAAGATGACCGGTGAAACCAGCCTTGGCGAGGATACCGCTGGACCGAGGGACAGGTAAGTGGCTGTTTTTTAAAAGTCAGCAGCTACAGTTTTTGTAGCTGCTGACTTTTATTTTTTTTTTTAGCTGGAACTCCGCTTTAAGCAGAATCAATATCCCTAGAACTGAACACAAGGTTGCACTCTGATGCCGTCACTCATAAAACTTTATTAGTCATCACAAACACACAAAGGAGTCTCTACTTGCAGACCACCCCACTCTGACACCTTTGTGTGTTTTTTCTGGATAATAAAGTTTAACGAGTGACAGCATCAGAGTGTGACCTTGTGTTTGACTTGGTGAAAGTGGAACAAAACATAGGTGGGCTCCCTTAGGCCTGTACCTGCTATCAATGCTTAGGAGGATGAAGAAGAGTTTTGGAGTGGTACCTTTTAGTTGGTTTCGCATTCCTTAGCATTTCAGTTGCTTAAAATTCTTGCTTTGCAGTCAATGAAGAGTCTGGGTCACAGTGATTCCAGTAGCTTGGTTGTAGGATTGAGTTCTTGCAGAGCAAAACTGTCAATTTCAATAGCCATTCATATTATTTTGAGAACTGGGATTTTTTATGGGAGGAGGAATTATCTCACCACAGGGATCTCTCAGATGTATTAAAATACAGAAATAAATTGGTCTTTAATGAGAATATTTTCCGTATAGACCTTTATAAAGAGTTGTGTGCACAAAAGAGATATCAGATCTTTTCCAGTGACCCATCATAGAGTCAGCTGATTTCTGTGCATGAGATCAACTGTCTCTCATGTGAGTTGGCTGGCAGAGGCCATTTTCAGGTTGAGCTTCCTAAAAAATAAATAAATAAATAAATAAAAAGAGTGGAAATTCTGTTAACCAACTGTGGAAACATCTACAGTGTTGTTACCCTCTTCCATGTGCATCAGCCTTCAGACTACAAGTGCTCCTCTTTCCCTAGCAACCCAACTTTGTCATAATTGAGAAGAAAGCAATGTTACTTCCGTAGATGCCACATCACGGCCAGTCTTGCTTCTCTTCATTGCACAGCACTATCACAGACCTGCAAAGTACAGAAAGCATTGCTGGCAACTGAAGTTTCATGCATCGGAAGTGGAGTTCTTAGCACAACTGAATCCCTCCCACATTTGCTGAATGAAGAAGAAAGATAGCACTCACATACAGGAATAAAATGGTACTTTAGGACAGTAATTTAAAATGGTAAAAGTATGCCTACTTCGTACTTTGCCTGCACTTACATTCAAAATCAGAATTCATTTTGGTTGAACCCTGTCTGAGCTCCAACACCATCCAGCACAGAGCTTGCACGTGGTTAGGACTCCCAGCTCCCACAGACGAATGGAGTTCCGGGGGCATCAGAGCAAATGTAAATATCAGCAGGTGGGCAGTTGTTCTTTCAAGAGAACCTGTCACTTTACCCATTCTCCAGTATATTGACACAAACCTGCCAGAATTTCTAACAATTTTTGACTTTATCCAGAACTAAGATGAAACATTTTGGCTGGGATTGGGCTTAGAATAGCCAGAATTGTAGGTAGCCTTTCGAAATGCAATGCAGCTCCCAAGGACGCAAGCTCTAATACCAAGTTTCCAGTACATACACTCGAGGAATGTTACTAACCAAGCATTAGGCATAGCCACAGCCATCACTAATACGAGATTTCCAGCCCCTCATCCTTGATGCCTGGAGGTGTTATCTCATCACCTCACTGACATTTACAGACTTGCCTTATTTGTCACTTGCCTGCATGATTGCTCAACATGTGAAATATCTTGCAGTATTTCCTATGATATATTTAACAAGCTTGGAAAGAAAATGGCTGCTCTGTGGAATTTGCTCATCTCCTATAACACATTCCCGTAGAGGTTTATTATACAGATGTTGCCATAGCAACCAGAAATATTGACTTTTGGCCCAAATGATTAAGTTCACAGGAGCTGTAGACACTTCCCTTCCTTTGTAACAGGAGAGCAGCTGACATGCAGTCCAGAGATTTCTGTGTGATGCTGATTGACAGCACAGCTTAGGAGGAAGCTGATGTTGCATCTTGGGAACCCATGTTTTTTCTATTGTTCAAACCCATCACCTATTACACCCAGAGGAACAGGAATGAACACACAGGAATACATTTGTTTGAATGATAGAGATACAGTGCTATGTAAAAATTGAATGAGGTGCTAAAGTGAACTTGTGAGCAAAGGTAAAGCACACTAATAACAGATTGCTGGCAATATAGGCGGATTCTTCCTTTCAGTATCTGTCTGATAAAGCTCCTAGTTTCCTAAAGCTCTCCTTGGAGGCAGAGCAAATACCACCTTTCTTAGAGCCCTGTCCCCCACACAGATATGTCTAGGTCTAGTAAGTGTTTAGGGGATGGTTTAGGGGTGCCTGATCTTCACTTTGTGGAAGTAGGAAGACCCCAAGTGAAGTGGACAAAAGATAGATGCTGAAGACCCAACATTGCATTGTGCAAGGCAGAGAGAGCCTGCATTGCATTGTTGGAGGTAGCAAGAGTCCTCATGGCATTGTAGGAGGCAACAAAAGCCCACTTTGCATTGCGGTAGGCAGTGGGCACCCACATTATCGTGTAGAGGGCAGTAATAAGCCCATATGGTAGCAACATGAGTCTGCATTGCACTGTAAACTGATGTTAAATTTCCATGTTGCATTGTGGAATTCTAAGAAGCAGTATGAGCCCACATTTGGAAAGAAGCGAGAGCCTTTGTTCCACAGTAGAAAGCAGTAGAAACCTTCATTACAGTGGAAGGCAGCAAAATCCCACATTGCATTCTGGGAGGCTCCAGGAGCCCATATTACACTGTGGAAGGTACTGAGAGCACTCACTGCAATGTGTGAGATAGTGAGAGCCCATGTTGTACTGTGGAAAGCAGTGAGAGTTCATGTTAGTGTTGGAGGCAGTGTGCACCTCTGTTGCAGTGCGGGAGTCTATGAGAGTCCATGTTGCAGTGTTGGACAGAGTGAGAGCCAATGTTGTACAGTGGAAAACCATAAGAGCCCACATTGTACTGTGGGTGGCAGGGAGAGAGGCCATGTTGCACTGTGGGAGGAAGAGAGAGAGCCCATATTGCACTGCGGGAGGAAAAGAGAGCCCATGTTGCACAGTGGGAATGTTTGAGAGCCCACGTTGTACTGTGGAAGGCAGAGAGAGAGAGCCCATGTTGCACAGAAGGAAGCTATGAGAGCCCATATTGCACTGTGGGAAGCAGTGTGAGAGCCCACGTTGCACTGTGGAAGGCAGAGAGAGAGAGCCCATGTTGCACAGAAGGAAGCAATGAGAGCCCATGTTGCACAGTGGGAAATGGTGGGAGTCCATGTTACACAGTAGGAAGCAGTGGGAGCTCATGTTGCACAGTGGGAAAGTTTTAGAGCCCACGTTGTACTGTGGACGGCAGAGAGAGAGCCCATGTTGCACAGAAGAAAGCGATGAGAGCCCATGTTGCACAGAAGGAAGCGATGAGAGCCCATATTGCACAGTGGGAAATGGTGGGACCCCATGTTACACAGTAGGAAGCAGTGGGAGCTCATGTTGCACAGTGGGAAGTCGTGAGAGTCCAAGTTGCACTGTGGGAGGCAGAGAGAGCCCATGTTGCACAGTAGGAAGCAGCAAGATCTCATGTTGCACAGTGAGAGCTCATGTTGCACAGAAGGAAGCAATGAGAGCCCATGTTGCACAGTGAGAAGCAGTGAGAGACCATGTTGCACAGTGCAAAAGAGCCATGAGAGCACATGTTGCAGTGTTAGAGGCAATGAGAGTCCATATTAATGTGTGGGAGAGAGTGAGAATCCTTGTGCAGTGGAAAACAGTGAGAGCCCATATGGCACAGTGGAAGGCAGTGAGAGCTTGTGTTGTAGTGTAGGAGGCAGTGGGAGCCCCTGTTGCAGTGTTGGGGGGCATTGAAGGACTGTGTTGCATTGTTGTAGGCAGTGAAAGCCCACATTGTACTGTGGGAAGTAGTGAGAGTTTGTGTTGCAATACGGGAGGCAGTGTGGTAGATATTGAGACCCCACATTGCAATATAGGAGGCAGTGAGAACCTGCATTGCATTGTGGGAAGTAGAAGGCTTGATCAGCTCAATGTTGCATGAAAGTACTTCTTTGCATACTGCATGTGCACTGCTTTGGGGGCTCCCAGGCCAATTTATAACTACTTTTTAAGAAGGTGTCAAAACATACAAAGTATTTTAATGGCAGGATAAAACAAATTTTTTCTTTATTCTGCCATGCATACAATTCTGTAAGATAGAAATATTATTTGGCCTACTGGGCACTCCTAGCCAATCCTCTCCATTCACCATGTTTAAACAGATTGCCAACGTGTGCACTGCCACAATCACAAGTAATTTCATTTCAAAGCTGGTTACATTGTGCAATTCCGCTGTCACTGGTCAGTCATTACTAGATGCCATCACTCAAGTCTCACTCGCTCATGTTTCACCACAACATGATGGAAGTCACCTACGCTTTCCAAGAATGCTTATGGAAAAATGTTTTGGCTTGTACTGCTTCCAGAGCCCAGCTTCACCTCTTCAATCTGGATCCCCAATGAATTAAACAGAACACTACCTCTGCATGTCTTCTAGTGATTCAAAAAATCTACTGAACTTCCTTTTTAAACGTCACTCCAAGACTGAAAAACAAGTAATGAAGCTGTCATTGAAAAGAATTAAAAAAGTGATCAACATGTATGGAGATTACAATTTTCAGGGTCTTCAGTTGTACAGATGTGTCACTGCCCACTCACAAATGTCAAGACATAAGTAGTGCCCACCTCTGTCCCCATTTTCATTCACCTTTAATGTCTCCTGCCCACTCACAAATGTCAAGACATAAGTAGTGCCCACCTCTGTCCCCATTTTCATTCACCTTTAAGAGCAGGCACTTCCAATGCAATCCTGATTTAAATTTCCACTTAACATGTGGAAGTTGAACATAAAGAAATATTTCAGGTAATTTTAAATTGAAAAATGACTTAATGATTTTTGAAGGGATATGCAAGTGAACAGAAGAGTCTTTACTGTATATTTGCTAGACGTTCTCTAAAACAATTTTTTGAGTAATTACGCTAATTAATTAGTAATTGCACGGTAGCTTTCCTTTAGATCATCTGGAATTTCAAATCAGGCTGACAATGGTAACGGCATACTACTGCTAAAGTAGTAGGGGGTGCAGAAATCAGAAGTTTTTCATTGCAGGCTTTCTGGCTACATATTTCATGCTTCAGGCACTGGGGGAGGGTGAAGGAGGGGTTTGGGCAGGCACAAAAGTCCCAGACATATTTGGAGGAGAGACTGTGACATGGAAAAGCAATCTCTATAAAATGAACCAGATCTTATGGCATCAGGAACACTAGCCTAAATCACAAGATCTCACAAGTGTACATCAAATGCTAATCCTACCTGAAACTAATTTTTTTTTTTGTACAATTATGAGTCCTTTAAATTGGGACTACTGGAAAATCAACTAAACCAATCATACTGATAACCAAATTATGTCATTACAAAACTAATTCTAAATCTATGATTTCTGAAGGCTGTTTACATACAAACCTGATATTTTAGTTTGGATAGGGGTTTGCGGTAGAATATCCTGCTTGCTTCTTACATACAGTGGTGTTCCTTTCTCACAGCTAGAGCTCCCACTTTATATATCAGCCTTTTAACATGGGGGTCTTTCAGGTATCAGGGAGCCCCTGCTAATATATGTACAACTCACGGTACATTAATGGAGACAGTAAGTTGATATATAAGAATAAATAAAGAATAGGGAATGTGGCAGACTTGTCATATTTGATGCAAGGGGCTGCTTTGTATGACAAAGTTATATTCTGTAATAATGAAATAAAAAAACTATAATAATGGTGGGGAAAAAAAAAACGCAGACAGTAGTGTTCCCTTGGTGGTCAGTGAAGAAGTGCCCATTACATTGGTGTCAAGGCAAAAAATTACCCTCTTATAATAATACTCAGCAATAAAAAGGACCCTCCAAATTGGTGGTCAGTGGAAGAATAACCCTCTTAGATTGGTGATCACTGGGAGAAAAATCCTCTTACATTGGTGGTGAGGGGGAGAAAGGACATCCTACAACGGTGGCCAGTGGAGAATGATCCCTTTACATTGGTGGTTGGTGGGAGAAAGACCCTCTTACATTTGTAGTCATTAAAAGATGCGTATGCATACATTTTTCATCAGTGGAAGCATGACCTTTTTAGGTTGGTGGTCAGGGCCCCCCAAACATTGGCAGTCACTGGGAGAAGGATGCTTCTACCTTAATGGTCAGTGGGAAAAATACCCCCTTACATTGGTGGTTAATGAGAGAAGGACCTTCTTACATTGGTGGTTAGTGGGAAAGAACCCCATTACATTGGTGATCAGTGGGAGAAGAACCCTCTTGCATTGGTGGAAAGACCTTACATTCTTAGTTAGTGAAGCACCTGCTTACATTGATGATCAATGAAAGAATGATTACCTTAGATTAGATTTGTGGTCAGGGAAAGAATGACCCCCTTACATTGGTGGTCAGTGGGAGAAGAACCCATTTACATTAGTGGTCAGTGGAAGAATGCCCCCCCCCCTTACACAGCTGGTTTGTGGGAGAGGGATCCCTGTACAATGGTGGTCAGAGTGTAGGAATGATCCTTACATTAGTAATGCCATCATAATAAATGGCAAAATAGATCAATGATCTGAGAGTCAGAAATTGTTAATAACCCAATGAACCCCTGGAAACTTCTGGAAGAACCCTGGTTGAGAAAGGCTGCTCTATATTGGGTAGAGTCCATGAGGAAGGACTGACACTATTATTTGGCTTCAAAGTCCCCAACCGTTGCACAGATAAATTGGAGATATATCACCACTGATATCCTCAGGAGAAATAAGATGCCAGCATGTGAGTCATCTTTCCAGCAACCACGCAAAACTAAAATATCAGTTTTCATCATAGTTGGCCTTTAACTCTCTATGTAACCCGCCTACTTTCTGAGCTAACCGGAGCACTGAACTACAACCGAGCCATAATATTTAATGCTCACATTGTCATTCAACAGCCAAGCGCTCCAACAGGACGAGTACGGTCCTCAACTGTGACAGGTGGAGTGGATTCCACGGTAATATCCATACAATTATTCTAAATAGTGTGAACAATGACACCAAAATCAATCATTAATTGTCTGTGTTAATTGGTTAAAGTTTAGTCTGTTTTTTTACATATTGTATATTGGATTCTTGTGAATACTTTTCTTGGTTGGCTACTTACTGCTGGATTCTTCATTTATGGCTCATATGTTTTAATATAAAAAAATCTAACTTTTTTTCCCCGTTTTTTAATTTGAACAAAGTTGAAGAGCACCTGTCATTTTGCAACAGACATTATTCTGCAGAGGTAAAGTGGGAAAGACGTTACCTAAATTTTAAATACTTTTGTGTAATCCCTAATGTACTTATGGACACTTTTGGTGGCTGGATTGTTAGAGGTGTCAGTTGCTGATGATCTGAGATGATCTGAGAGAGAAAAGCCTAGAATCAATTACATACCCCCTTGCTGTGTCAGTTTCCATCTTTTCTTCCAATCTGAAAGATGTACCTGCTGGCCCTTTTATCATTAAAAAGCTATTCTTAAAGCCTATATCCTAGGATACACAAAATCCTCCCTTGCAGAGGGGCTGCCCCTGCACTAGAAGGGGTCAAATGTTTTTTTAGGTCTAGAGTACCTGAAAAAGCCATTGTACTTACTTGATTCCTGCTCCCCTATGCCCTGGCTTGTGGAGTGTCCCTTGGTATCCTCAAGTCCAATGTAGGGCTATGGACCCTGCATTATACTTGCTGATGGAAGAGGGCATTTGACCACTGGAACATAGGAGAGGAGAGCCTGCAGAGATCAGTCTAGGTCTAGTCTAGTGCTTTTTCCAATGCACAATACAATAGATATACAGAGGGGCGGACTGACCATTTGGAAACTCGGGCACTGCCCGAGGGCCCAGGGTCAGTAGGGGGCCCCATGAGATGCCCCTGGTACCTTTTTCATAGGCTTTTTTGAGTTTGGGCAAGGACACGGGCCCCATGATCCCCTATTGCCCGGGGGCCCCATGAGTTGTCAGTCTGCCCCTGGATATACATGAGCATTTATCCCTAGCAATGTGGGAATAGCAGTAAGCAATGTTCAGCTTAAGAGCTCATTTATACTTGCAGTGGGGGAAGCGACAAAGACAGGTGGATGAGCCATGTTTTTACCACCTCTCCTAAGCTGCAAAAGCAGTCTGTTGGGGTTGTACATAAGCCCATCTGTCACGTTCGGCAGGCAGTACCGCCACTGAATGCCTCCCATTTAAGTGAATGAGGCCACACTGCAACTGCTTTCTAATGGTGTGTAATACACACAGTTGTGGTGTGGTGGTGCAGCATTTACAGGGTTAAAACAAGTAGTAATGAGGCGACATATTGCCTCCCGACCGCTTGTCAAACACCTCTGAAAAGCGATCCATCATACACTCCTTTTCAGAGGAATGTACATCTAAATTTAGCCATAATCTCTAGTCCAGTGACTTCACGTGATATGTTGGCATTGGTTTGCTGGAAGCTGTAGGAAGCATTTCCTCAGTCTCTTCTTCCCCCATTGATCAAACTGCAACTTTGTAACAAGTTACAAGGTGAGAGATTCAAAGGGGACAATCTACATCAGATATCGGTGTCTTGTCTGTGTGTTTGATCTGTGCTCGGCAAGGCTGCTAAGCGGCATCCCAGTGTACCTGGTGTAAAGAAGCTGTTACATAAGTGTGCCATTTCTAAATCAACATCTTTATCCAGGAATTAGAAGCCGACCCTGGATAGTGCCTGAACAAAGATGGCTCTGTCCTTCTGGAAAGAAAAGCAAATGAAGGCATTGTTATAGGGCGGGGGTCAGCAACCCGTAGATCGCCGACAGGTGACTGATAGATGACAGTCTGGGCTCACTGACCTGCCATTCCAGGGCATCAAACAGAGTGCAATGCAGAGAGACTACTTGTAGAGTTGGAGCTGCAGTCGGGAGCAATAGCCGCAGAAGCCGATGTCTCCTCTGTAGTGCCGGCTCCTGTCCCATGCCGAGTGATACCAACTGCACTCCACCTCTTATCCCGGCTAGTGGTCTCCAGAGTGGTGCCAGCAGCAGAAGAAGAGATTTGCAGGTCAGTGTGAAGCAATACACTGGGCATAATAGTATAGGGCTGCTTTCACACTGATGCACTGCGGTTTACCCACATTACGGGTGCAGTGCAGTGTACCTTCATCTTTCTTGCAGGTTTGCTGCGCTTACCCATAGACTTCTGTTATATCCTGCAGGTTTGGTGCACTTTCTGAAAGCGCACCAAAAATCCTGAAGTCTATGGCAAAGCGCAGCTAACCTAGGAAAGTCGCAGATGTGCTGCGCTGCACCCGCGGTGCAGGTAAACCACAGCACATCAGTGTGAAAACTGCATCAGAATGGTAAGGGTTAATTTACATTTGCAGTTTGGGGGTGGTAAAACCCCAAAGGTAAGACAGGTTTTTATCACCCCAACCACACCCCTTTTAGCTGCAGTGGTCAGGGGTGTACACATGTCACAGCCGCAACATGAGTTACACGCCCTGTCATGGTTGGTGGGTGTAGCACCTGTCAAGCGTGACCCATTCAAGTGAATGAGGCCGCACTGCTAGTGATCTGCAACCTTGTGCAGTACAGGAAACAAGGGATTAAAGCAGGCAGTATTGTTTGCTTTATTACCACCTGCTTTAACCCCTTGGACCCTGCAGAAGCATGCAGTTGCTGGCCATTTGCAGAGTGGCCCCATTTACTTGAATGGGTTGTGATTGGTAGGCAGTAGCACCCACCAAAAGCAACAGGGGGTTTAATTCCTGATGCACCTTTTAGCTGCCAAATGGGGGTACCGATTAGGGGTGGTAAAACTGCAATTCAACTAATGAACCCTAAGTGTGCTGCTGCCGAATGCAACTAAGGGCGCTCATTTACAGATGCAGCAGGCACTGCTGCGCCTTTGAAAAGCGATTCAAGTGTGTTTGACCATATGTTGCCTCCTCACCACCTGATTTAAACCCATGATTGCTGTGCAGTGCGATCGCACAGTATGCATAGTATGGCAATTAGAGGTTAAAATGAGGTGTGAGGCGGCCACACTGCGCCCGTTGATCTTTGACTTCTCCTATGTTGTTCAGGTAGATCTCCACCTCTCTAGGCCTCATACACACAGGGCATTTTTGCATCCAAATATACTGAATGAGGAAAGAACAAAGAGAGGGCGCACAGGCCTAGTGCATTACCATAAAAAATGTTTAATAGGAAATAAAATAGGTGTTGTACTCACAAACGACAATATAGTCAAGGCACATCATAAAAGAACAGCTGGGTCAACACCGCGCTGAGTAACAGTCCGTAATGGGGAATGTAGACATCCAATAGGCTGACGCGTTTCAAGGACTTGCCTCTTCCTCAGATTCCCCCCGGTCTGTTGAGGGCAGCAAGGTGTGCATGTTCCAGGACATTCCTAATGTGGTTGCAGCCTGCATCGAGTCCATCCCCAAGCGCAGGAGCATTTGTGTTTGCTGGTTCATTTTTGCATCCACTTTTAGAGGCATCAGGTGGCTCTTATTTTTTTTTACTGCTTCCAAACACCCCTCCATATTATCCTATGTGTCCATGCACACATAGACATTTAGAAGATTTTAGTGGCATGGCTTATAGGAGCTGGCAGTGCGTCCAGGAGCAGCAGGATTTTGTCAGAAAAAATATGCGTCTAAATGCACCTAAACGCGTGTTAATGCTAGGTGTGTTTAGCGCTTGAGCGTTAATTGATTTTAATGGCCAGAATAAGTTATTATTCTGGCTAATGAAATTAATGCCCAAGCGCTTGACGCCTATAAAGGCACCTAAATGGTTGTAAAAGTGTTAGATGCTCTTACAAGCCTCAGGTGTTGTTTCTGCCAAGCAGCGTGTTTTGTAAATCCTATGTGTATGAGGCCTTAAGGTTGCCTGCCCCTATTATAGGGAATACAGTGATCTCTCTGAGAGGTCATAAATACCTGTCTCATATACACATCACCCAGTATTCGTATACTTAACATGAAAATTATATCTGATACTCGGTCCACTTTAAATAGAAATTGGACACGCCTAAAAAAATGAATTAAAAAATACACTTAGGCTCCATGTACACGGGACACTTCTGAACGATGGAAACTGACTGCTGGAAAACGTAGGTTAATAAACGTCTGTTTATGAGCGTTTGCGTTTAGAAGCGTTTTTTAAAGATAACCTCAGGAGCCCTTCCAAAATGCCCAGAATGCACTGAAAAACAGTTAAAAAAGAACTATTTCAGACATTTTGAGAGAAATAGAGAGAGCAGAAGCAGAGAGAGCAGTATGTGTTTAGATTTGCTGTCTTTTTTTTTTTGTGGTGTTTGGATGTGTTCCGGCTCATTTCTGTGCAGAAATTATTGCAGCAATGTCTAACATATTTTCTTTCATGCAAACCTCAAAGTATGGTGTACCAGGTCCATTTGAGTACCCGGAAAGCGCTTTGCATGCATTTTTTATGATGATAAAAGGCTCTGGACAGCATCTGGAAATGGAAGAATTAAAAAAAAAAATTTCCAAACGCTTATAAACGCGGTTAGCTGCGTTTACAAGCGGTTGGCATTTGAAACGCTGATCAAATCTACTCCTGAACGCAAGTTTGGTACGTTAAAAAAAGACGACTGTAAACGACGATGTGTACATGGACACACATGAAAACATTAGGGAGAGTTCAGGGGCTGCTGAAAAAAATGCATAAAAGCTCCTAAACATGAGTTTATCAGCTGCAGTGTAGATGGAGCCTAAAACCTTCACTTCTAAAGGAAGTAATACATTGGGGCTGATTTAAAGGAAATCATACTGTGCACTTTGCAAGTGCAGTTGCTCCAGAGCTTAGTAAATGAGGGGGAGCTCTGCTGACTTCCACCATCCAATCGTGCAAGCAAAATGCTGTTTTTTGTATTTCCTTTCACTTGATTGGATATTCTTTGCAAAGTGAAGCTTTACCTCATTTACTAAGCTTTGGAGCATATGCACCTGCAAAGTGCACAGTATGATTGCCTTTAGTAAATCATTCCCACTGTCTACCTTCCCTTGTATCTTCCTCTGCTTTATTATGTCAGTTACAATGCAACAGGTGCGTGTTTGTGAAATGGCATTGGCCCACACATTTCTGCCTTGGCAATACACATGGTAAAGCCCATTCCTAACTCTAGTAGATTGGCATCTTACTGCACAAGCTGACACTCTTTTCCAATCTACTTATAAGAAGGGAAGTTCTTTGAAACTCTTGGTGACAATACCTTTGTTATGTTTGTAATGTTCATGTCTGTGTTCATATGTACAGATAGAAGTGTGTCTCTTCTAAAATATTTGGTGGGGACATGTGGGAAATCTTGAGCCTTTTTAAAAATGTTATTTATTTATACAGTATATTTTTTTAGATTTATGTTCAGGTGACCTTTACCATGTAAATTATCTTGTTAAAATGATTGATATCAATTAAAAAGTTTGTTCATGTTTGTTTGTGTTAAGTGATATGTATTCATGGCGGTGGTATCTAGTATGCATGGTCTGTGTCCTGCTTGCTAATGTAGTGTAGTGATTGTACTTTACGCTCTTGCAAGTCTTTAGTCTGCTTAGACTGGTTGCAAACTGTGCAATATGTTACCCAGGAGACCCTTATCTCTGCAGTGCTTTAGCACTTGTCTGGCATACAGACAGCCACTAGAGATAATCTGTGTATTATAAACCACGAAGTATGGAAAAACGAATTGCTCTACATTATGTATTTGGAAGTCATAATATGTGACCTGCAAAGGAACTTATAGCAATAACACAATATATGTACTTGCTGAAAATTCACTAAGACATACAGTACCATGTTATCTCGTCAGTTTTCTTACACAATTTATTACTGAATTTCGAATTACTTTTTTTTAATATGTTTTTGGAAATTGTTGAATGCATCTGGCCATCAAACATGAAGGAGCTTGTTGGGCATCCTATCCTAAAACCATGCACATTAATATGGAATTTTCTTCCCTTTGAGGGTATAGCAGCCCCCACTCTCCTGGGAAGGCTTT